AACATGACGTACTGTGACGTAATGATTATGACAAATTGACTGTGACATGACGTACAGTGACGTAGTGATTATGACAAGTTGACTGTGACATGACGTAAAGTGACGTAATGATTATGACAAATTGACTGTGACATGACGTACAGTGACGTAGTGATTATGACAAATTGACTGTGACATGACGTACAGTGACGTAGTGATTATGACAAATTGACTGTGACATGACGTACAGTGACGTAATGATTATGACAAATTGACTGTGACATGACGTACAGTGACGTAGTGATTATGACAAGTTGACTGTGACATGACGTAAAGTGACGTAATGATTATGACAAATTGACTGTGACATGACGTACAGTGACGTAGTGATTATGACAAATTGACTGTGACATGACGTACAATGACGTAAAAAATATGACAAATTGACTGTGACATGACGTAAAGTGATGTGATTGCTATGACAAGTTGACAGTGACATGACGTATAGTGACGTAGTTATTATGACAAATTGACAATGACATGACGTAAAGTGATGTGATTGATATGGAAACTTGTCAATGACATGACATACAGTGATGTGGTGGCTATGACAAGTTGACAGTGACATGCCGTACAATGACGTAGTGAATATGACAAAACGACAATGACATGACGTTAAGTGATGTGAATGCTATGACAAGTTGACAGTGACATGACGTACAGTGAGTGCGGTAGTGTAGTTAATATAACAACTGTTACGCCGTAATAATGGCATTATAAAAGTACCAGGTTTAGAGAGAATCATTAAATGACTGTAGCTGCATTTTCACATAGACCATCCAAGCATACCTGTATCTATTCGAACCTCTAGGTAGGCTATATAAATATCTAGTTCGAAACAGACATGAAAACATTGACAATGATACCACTTTATGTATTGGACCATAGTACAAGACAAAAGTATACGATATCCAGTAAAATAGTTCATGTTTCATTTAACTCTATTTTATGTGTGAACGTTCAAGCTGGTATCGGCCTATATTTTCTTAATTATCCGTCAACGCTTCTCTGAACAAATTAGCTTAAAGTTAAAACAAATATATAACTCATTCGAGGCCTGCCATGTGATACCTCTTATCCCTATTATATGTGAAGGCGGCCAATGTGCGATCTTATATTATCAACATTAAATATTGGGCCGTGAAGAGATTTCGCGTCATCGACTGAGACACTACTCCGACCTAGAACGGTGGTTTGTTTGTTTGTTTACCTTTAGGATCATTGTATACCTGTATATAGCTGTGTAAGGTATGCAATATGGCTGTTATTTCGATCAGCTTATTGACAGAACTCTGCCGATATTATTATATAACGAAGATCTCATACATATCGTTAATTACAACATGTTGGTTTTGGAAGGAAAATCAGATGATACTAATATTCCAGATCAGTAAACAAGCATACACAAAAATAAAAATAATAAAACCTGAAAATACATATATCACAATATCAGACCTAAATCCACTGGTTTTGTGAAGTAAAGTAGAACAATATTTACCTGTTCATAACAATGTTCAATTCATCGTAATTATTTATTTTAAAAAAATGGAGTGAATATTTATTTACGTATTGTTAAAGTGCCTGTCAAACTTAATGAGTATACGTCACATTTAATTTGGTGGAATTGACTAACTGTGTGTGTGGTCATTTTAACAAAGCAAAAAATACTCGACTTTTAATGAGATTTCCACAAAATTAATTATATGATTGATGTAATAACAATTTGACAGGTTATCCACTGATAGGAAAAGAGAAAAAATATATAACAAATAGTCTCTCAAAGGATAACCCGTTCTTTTTCGCACCGTGTGTATGTCCGCAAGTTTATTCAAATGTTTGTGTTTTCTAAAAGAACAGAAATGTTCTTTGTCGTACTCCAGAACGATATACTATGTTAATTGCCAATTATTTTAGATTTAAATGATTCTCGTGCCGAACAGGTTTTTACTAAAACATATTGATTCGCTGTGCAAAAGGTCATTATAATGAACCAGATAATTAGCTTTTAATGGAAACTGTTATTTAATTGGGTTTTAATGGAAACTGTTATTTAATTGGGTTTTAATAGAAACTGTTATTTAATTGGGTTTTGAAAATTTTGATTTAATAGGGGAATGTATGATTACAGTTAAAGGTTTGTTTTAAACTTGCCTACCTACAATACATGAATGAAATATACTACAGATTCAACACGCAACGAAAACATAATGGGGCTTCACAATAACAAGGACAAAATAAAGCCTAGCGTTACTTCATAAGTAAGATATCACAACGTTATCATAAGTTTAAAACATAAAATTCAAGCTTACTGTAATATTTTGATTAAACAAAACAAAAAAGGAGTCAAAACTTTCAAAGATCCGAAATCAATATTTGTTAGGCGTGTTCGGCTTGCGAAGCAAATGGCGAACACTCGCCTTTCACCAAGACGACATATAGGTTTGATTCTGCGATTAGACGTAATATTAATTGACAACGTCTATATCATAATTGTTGTACATATATAAGTAAAAGAAATAATATTCAAAAGTTACAATAGATCTGTGTATATTACCGACAGGAATAAATATAATTAACACGATCGAAATCATCAGGTTTTTTTTTCGACGCAACACTTCACCAATTGTACACTTGATTTTTTAAGAGATACTGAAAATCATTGTATCGATCATTTTAAAGTCGTGTACAATTCAATACACAATTAAATACACAATTCAATAATAGTGCATAGTTTTGTTAAGATGATAGATTGGTGATCATTAAATGATCGTATCGAACGGACCCTGACTCGTGAACTTATTAACAAGGTTAGCCTCATACTAGATGTTTAAATTCTCTATGAAGTTTGTTTGTGTTCTGACAGATCGTCAGCTTTTCTATCGTATGAAATGGTTGAGTGATTGCCCTATTCATGTGTCTCTTCTGATCTTCTATTGTATTGAAACCCTTCATTCTAAGCTGTCTGTATTGGGGATTAATATCTCTGTCATATGTATGTACTCAAACTCAGCTATTAGAAAGAATGGACGTCATTGGTGTAAATAAACCACTCTTCGTGTGTATAGTAAGTATGGTATTTCATTACGGTAGCGTAAAGGAATCAGGTTGAATATCTGATGAACTAGAATATAAACAGCAGGACTAGGTATTGTATGTCACAATGTCGATTTATTGTGATTCGCGTTTGTTTATTTATTAGAGATGTGTTGACTGATAATCATATTCATCAATCGTACCCAACACTGACTGGGAAGGTCGTCGAATCAACGCCTACTAATATGGTCGCTCAGAATGGATTGTGCAATTAACACCCATCCGTCCAGGTCGTCACTAGAGGATTTATAAGGTGAGTTTATGTCACGTTATCTTAACAAGTTTAAAAATATATATATATACATATTTAGTGATTGAATTGGGAAATTTATTTTATTAATTTATTAAATTTTTAATTAATTAAAAACCATCAAAAATGCAATTATTACAAACTTAAGATGACTTTATTTTATAAATAACTTGGAATCGTAACAATAGTGAAACTGCCTTTTGTAAGATCTAATTGGTAGAAACGAGTCTTTCTGATAAACGGTTTTTTAGTACGTATACATTATTCAGCACAGTTACAGGTTCGTTTTATACAATTGTCTCTCTTTAATCTCGGTGTCTAAATCGAATTACCTAGATTTAAAACAGATGTAAGACAGGGATATTTTGCATAGAAGTGATACATCTGTTCCCTAAACATTGTCCAGATAGGAAATAATTATTGGTTAGATAGTAGAATTATCGGTAGTTTGCTAGTGGGACATTTTTATTTGTGGTGTATGGGTAGTGGGAAAATTTCATGTGTGGTGGCTTGAAATTCGGAAAACTCGATAAATAGTGTTTAAGTATTGGAACATTTTGGCTTTGTACTGGCTGGGCAGAGGGATTAATGATGGTTGGGCAGTGAAACAACCAGATTAGTGGTGGATTGACGGGGAAAGCCGGGTAAGTAGGGGTGTGATAGTAGGACAACCAGATTAGTGGTGGTTTGACAGGGAAAACCGGATAAGTAGGGGTTTGATAGTGGGACAACCAGATTAGTGGTGGTTTGACAGGGAAAACCTAGCAAGTAAGGGTTTGATAGTGGGACAACCAGATTAGTGGTGGTTTGACAGGGAATGCCGAACAAGTAAGGGTTTGATAGTGGGACAACCAGATTAGTGGTGGTTTGACAGTGAACACCGGGTAAGTAGGGGTTTGATTGTGGGACAACCAGATTAGTGGTGGTTTGACAGTGAACACCGGGTAAGTAGGGGTTTGATAGTGGGGCAACTAGATAAGTAGTGACTGTATAGTGGGAAATTCGGGTAACTGGATAGGGGTATAACAGGGTATGTAGTGGCTGCATAGAAGGACACCTATTGTTTTGGTGGCCGGATTGTAGGACACCCGGGTGAGTGGTAGTTGAATTTTGAGACATCCGGTTGAATGGTAGTTGAATATTGGGGACATCCGGGTGAGTGTAGTTCGATTTTAGGACAATCCGATAACGATGGCTTAATAGTGATACTACCGAGTTGGTGGTAGCGTTATAACGACGTGAACGCTTGAGTAGTGGCCCAATTTACTGTAATATACACGTCTTCTCATTTTACAACACTAATAAAACAGTCATATCACTCCTGGTGGTTGCACGCACTGTAGACCGAATACGAAATGTAAATGTTCATCAGTGCCATCATTATGGAAACATATCGCGTCTATTTGCTCAAATACATTGATAACATATCATGGTACAGAAGATGTTATTCAAATTCAGGCGTAATGTTTTGAATGATCTGGTATGATTATATCTCGCTGATGACATTTGTCATGAATCAATTTCCATATACACATGTCCCTATTGAAATTAGACTCGATAGGGCCAAATACTGTATCAATAAATAAAAATGCCATCATTTTGTAGTAATTATTCAAGAGAAAAATGTCGATATAGATTACAGTCGTTTAACAAAAGTAGCTGGGACTCTTGTTAAGGGACCTCACGCTATTCCAATCACAATACAAATACTCACGCTAATTTAAAAACACCGCAATGAATGTTAATAATTAATTTAACCATTATTGTTTTTGTGTAAATATTAAACTTCTATTCAGTTTTATGTAATTAATTCATGTTACTTAATAAGTTCTATATAGTGTCCTGATGTATGCATAACGAAAGGATATGCCTTCAAAGTGCCCTAACAAAAATGTACAGGAATCGAAACGAATGACACTTCAAAAAAAGGACAGTGTATGCATTCAAAATACTTAACAAAGAAACGGAGGAATCGAAGAAAATGTAATTTTTTTGAAGATTAAGACAAATAAATTGATTTGTACACCTACCCACATCGTCATGGTACAGAGTTTCCTTCTTGCACAGAGTCTTACGTCATGCGTTATTTTTTTCGATATCGATTTTTTTAAGTTTTGTTTTTCTTGTAATGTACAAAATACAACCCAGTTAATGTATTGCATACCCTTTTAATATTTTTAACAAACATCTCAATATCCAATATGAATAATAAAAAAAATCCTGATAGAATAACATTTACCACACTTCCCTAACTTATTACTGCTAGAGTGACATAACATTGTATAACCAAAGAACATTTAAAAAAATAAAACTACTTTTCTAGAGTCGTATCTATAAAATATAAACCAAAATAATATTAAGCTGTATTTATATTTATTATGAGTTTTGGCCAAAAAAAAAGGATGGAAATGAACCCAATGTCTATGTGAAAATTTGGGATTGTTGGCGGTATGTAAAAAGAGAAGGGAGGAGGGTCGACTGTATGTAAAAAGGAAAAGGAGGGAGGGTCGGCGATATGTAAAAATGAGAAGGGGGAGGGTCGGCGGTATGTAAAAAGGAGAAGGGGGAGGGTAGGTTGTATGTAAAAAGGAGAAGGGGAGGGTCGGCGATATGCAAAAAGGAGAAAGGGAGTGTCGGCGGTATGTAAAAATGAGAAAGGGGAGGGGTGGTGGTATGTAAAAATGAGAAAGGGGAGGGTCGGCGGTATGTAAAAACGAGAAAGGGGAGGGTTGGTGGTATGTAAAAATGAGAAAGGGGAGGGTCGGTGGTATGTTAAAAGGAGAAGGGGGAGGGTCGGTGGTATGTAAAAAGGAGAAGGGGGGGGGCGGCGGTATGTAAAAAGGAGAAAGGGGAGGGACGGCGGTATGTAAAAAGGAGAAAGGGGAGGGACGGCGGTATGTAAAAAGGAGAAGGGGGAGGGTTGGCGGTATGTAAAAAGGAGAAGGGGGAGGAACGGCGGTATGTAAAAAGGAGAAAGGGGAGGGGCGGCGGTATGTAAAAAAGAGAAAGGGGAGGGTTGGTGGTATGTAAAAATGAGAAAGGGGAGGGTGGGTGGTATGTTAAAAGGAGAAGGGGGAGGGGCGGTGGTATGTAAAAAGGAGAAGGGGGGGGTCGGCGGTATGTAAAAAGGAGAAAGGAAAGGGTCGGCGGTATGTGAAAAGGAGAAGGGGAGGGTCGGCGGTATATAAAAAGGGGAAGGGGAGGGTCGGCGGGATATAAAAAGGAGAAGGGGAGGGTCGGCGGTATATAAAAAGGAGAAGGGGGGGGTGGGCGGTATATAAAAAGGAGAAGGGGAGGGCCGGCGGTATATAAAAAGGAGAAGGGGAGGGCCGGCGGTATATAAAAAGGAGAAGGGGAGGGGCGGCGGTATGTAAAAAGGAGAAGGGGGGGGGGGTCGGCGGGATGTAAAAAGGAGATAGGAAAGGGTCTGCGGTATGTAAAAAGGAGAAGGGGAGGGTCGGCGATATGTAAAAAGGAGAAAGGGAGGGTCGGCGGTATGTAAAAATGAGAAAGGGGGGGGTTGGTGGTATGTAAAAATGAGAAAGGGGAGGGTCTGCGGTATGTAAAAATGAGAAAGGGGAGGGTTGGTGGTATGTAAAAAGGAGAAAGGGGAGGGTCGGCGGTATGTAAAAAGGGGAAGGGGAGGGTCGGCGGTATGTAAAAAGGAGAAGGGGAGGGTCGGCGGTATGTAAAAAGGAAAACTGAGACGTGAGAATAATTTGTCACAAAAAAATAGTTGTAGCTTTTTGAGTTGTCTCTCCAACTAGTAACCTTTGTACTGTTTTATTCTGTTTCACATTGCAATATATTTTCATATGTGTCATGATAGATCACGAATAAGCAATAGAATTCCGGGCAGTGTTGTTATAAAATACCATTCGATCCTGTACATAGACTACTAGAGAAAGCTCAATCAAACTTTCATTCATTGAAAAAGTGAGCAGTTTGTGAAATACATACGTAGCAAACACGGTTGGTATCTTAAGACAGGAGCTAGCTCTGAAAAGGGGTTTGTGAGACAGATTCGGTATCACTATGTACAGTTGATAGATTAGGACACTTCAAACGAACATGGCGGATTCATTATAGGTATGATGTAGACATTGAATACCAAAACCTCGGACACAAACGTTACTATAGCACAACAAATACACCATATATTTCATGGAGTTATATATAAAACGGAAATAGACAGTATTGAAAATTTTGTAACGTTACATAGAAATGGAACTTTCAGTAAAAACATACAAACATCGAGCCGTTATATTGACAAATCAGTTCTGCTTCAATGATGATGATGCAAATTCCAAAGTTACGTACATTTTATCTTTTGACCATAAATAGGCGTAACCTGTATGACGTAAAGCGCCAAATTGACGTACACCGTGGTAAATATTTATTCTGCGCGTTCTTTGATCTGACCCCATTGTCTGTGGTGTCATTGTCATATATGGGATGAACAATTTCCAAAAGTTTTCATAACGTTTCATCTCTATGTTAACTATAACGATCGGAACGTGTCATCTTTGCGTAATTTCGTCCGTTGTCCTGTAAAATCAACAATGCTATTCGTCGGTGAATACACAACGATAAGTACTTCGGTGATCGTTACGGCGTGATGGATGGGCACAGCGTAATGTCGCTATCATAACAAAGGTAACATAACAGTGTGCGTTATGGAATCATCTTTAAAGCCAAAAACTAGGACATAGCTCCTCTCGATAAGACAACAACTGTGATTGGTGCTTCCTGATTTATTGTCACAGGGAGAACTAATCAAAACGACCGTTGTATATAGCGTTCGACTTCAATAGTTATAATAGAACCAATCTGTGAAATGAATCTAATAGAGGTGCCTGATTAACACATTGGGATTGTTGATATATTACGTAGTCCACCAAAGAAAATGGCGCATAAACACTACAACGTTCAAAACCCGTAAGAATTATGCATGACGTTAATAAATAACCGACAATTAGACGAAAATAGAATCTTTATTTTATATTCCTTCTCTTTTTCGAAGTTTGAAGGTATTTCTACACATAGGTTTTAGGGGATCCCCTACTCCGTTTGCGTATTGCAGAGTTATCTGCTTTTGTGAGCAGGTATTGATTGTTACGTCATTTGTTTATGAGAGTAACGTCATCAATTTTTGAGAATACGACGTAATTTTCTCACACAAACCAATGACGTAACAATCAATAATAAGATAACTCTGCAACACGAAAAGACGGAATATCGTTTCCATTAATTATCAGTTGTTTGATATATCAATATTTGAACGGCATATTATATACACTGTATTTGGTAATTTTTGACTGATATATATATATTGTATTGGTTAGCATGACAGTTCTTTGTCGGGTTCTACGATTTGAAACTTACAATAAAACCTGACAGTGGAGCCTTGCATTGAATCTATCTAATCATACAGATTTTAAGATGATGTTTTGTTTAATCCATTGTTTAGCATAAAATGTATAATTTGATGGCAGGTACGATGTGTTATATACATGAAAACAACGAAATTAGCCTTGACACCGCCTCGGTCAATATCCCTTTATGGAATTCATACTACGTCTTATTATTTTGTCATATTATTCCCGACAAGTGATTGGCCAGGAGTGCATCACGTGTCCACCGATAAAAAACGATATTGACTTGGAGCGCAAGATTTTTGTTGAAGGACTGGGTGTTAAAAAAATAGAATTATGACGTGTCTCCAAATAATGCACCGTCCCACTTCCGAAGCTTTTTTTGTGGGGGGGTTTTCAGATTGCTTACATTACTGTTTTGTAGAATAATAAAACAATTGTAGCCTTTAACTTCTGTCAATACCTGGATTAATCAACCCGAGAAAAGATATATTGACCTCAGACTGTATTCTCGGTTAATATATCTTTTCTCGGGTTAATAAATCCAGGTATCGACCTCAGCCAATGGCTATAATTGAATAATATCAACAATCAGAGGAGTTTATTATTACGCAACTGTTTAAATCTTTACATTGAATTCTATTCCACACAGCTTAACATCCTGGATACCATGCGGAACCCCTTGGTTTTCTTCCTGCTGGTGTTCATCGTCGGACAACCGGTGCTGGGAAGTAAGGGAACGATGGACGACTGGATCAGACTTACTGACACTCTGTTCGCCAACTACACGAACGAGGTTCGACCGGCGTATAACTTCAATGAGACAGTCGTCGTAAATTCCTGGATGTTTTTACTCTCCATTTTAGACTTTGACGAGGTGGCCGGCGTCATCACATTGAGTGCTGGTATGGGAATTACTTGGACAGACTACCGATTGAAATGGAATCCTGCCGACTACAACGGTTTAGAAGATATTCTTATTAATTCTTCAAGAGTTTGGAAGCCAAAACTTTACATGATTACTTCTGCCGATGATCTGGAGCAGTTCGGACACGCAGAATTCGATGTACGGCTGGATTATAACGGTACCTGCTCAGTTTTCCCTGGTAAGTTACTAAAATCGAGCTGCTCCGTGGATATGACGAGATTTCCTGTAGATTCCCAACTATGCGAGATGCTTGTATTATTATGGGGTTTAAATCCGACTGAAGTCGAACTTACTTCCGCTGCTCAGGAAATCAGTTTAGAATATTTCACTCCCAATGGAGAATGGAAAATAGACAAAACCTCCGTGTATAAATACATGGGGTTCGGATCTCCTTCCCAAACCACCGCGTTCACAATTCACATGACACGAAGATCGATGTACTTCATCATATCAATGACCATACCGGTTTTCCTTTTGTGCTTCCTCAATCCCTTCGTGTTCCTCCTGCCGTCAAGTTCCGGGGAGAGAATATCCTACACAATCACCATGTTCCTGTCACTGGCGGTGTACATGACGCTCATCGGAGACAACCTTCCTAAAGTATCAGAAAACATGGCTGGGATGTCGTACTTCTTGCTGATGGCGTTAATATACAGCAGTCTGCTGATTTTGCTCACCATATTTACACTTCGGTGTGAAGCTCTTTCTGACGTTAGCAAATTTCCAAGATGGTTGAGGCGGTTGACTCGATGCTTTAAACGCAGGGGGAACAAAATTAGCTACAACAAATCTGAAAATGTCCAAGACGTCAACGAAAACGAGGAAAAGGAGGGAAGGAAGGAAAACCCTGACGATTCGCTGAGTGTCTCTAAGAGTGACGTCATGACACTCATTGACGTTTCGTTGTTCGTTGTTTCTTTTTTGATGATCGTCATTGCGTCTATTTGGTTCCTCGTGCGGTATTACGTCTGAAGCTAAGGCATTAACCTCAATGCTTCGTCAGCTAATGATAAATGATAAATTATTAATTCAAGAAAAGCTTGGAAACTAATTTGTCAAAAATTGAGGCGTATAACAACGAACGATAAATTCGAATGATACTGGTTGTTTTCTTGATACTCATTTCAAATGACACATTTTAAGTCAATATTGCAATCGATGGTGTGAAAAATCTCTTTTTGTATGTTTATATTAGTTTTAGGTCAATATATGTTTGACTTATGTAGGACATTTTTATATTCAAACATATATATTTTGTCTCATTTGTTTTTATTCCAATATGCCAAACATGTGATGACAGAAATATTTCCTGCGCAATTGATAAAATTGATTTATCTGGAAGACAAGTAAAAAAACTCGTCGTTGCAATTTCAACAAAAGACAATTTAACGCGAACATATCGTAGCCTCCCAAACACACACGCATACACTACACGCATGCATCACTTGCTCACAGGGGAGGCTGTCCTTAAATGACCATAGCTGTTGATAGGACGTTAAACAATACTAAACCAAACCAAACCAAACCAAACAATTTAACGGTGTGAAAATACGGCGGTTAACATCTTACTGTGTTGTCGGCAATTTTTGCGGGCGATTTAATTTCGCTTGATTTGCGGTAACCAAAGATAGTGCGGAATTAAACACACAGCGAAAATGTATGCCATGCATAAACCAAGATAAAAAGAAAAGGCCTGATTCATTTTTGCTGTCGAATAATAAATAAAAACCAATACTTCAAAATCATTTTATTTTTTATTTTGACAAAATATTTGTAAAATAATTCCCATCGCTCAAATACAAAAGTATTCGCTTGACCGCAATAATTGAATCACTGCAAACTCATTCTGATCGGGACAATGGCGAAAATTAATCCCCCACCAAAATTAACAACTACACAGTATCCATCTGTCAAAACATACTAGACTGTAAACACTGTAAAACCAGTTGGCGATAACTTTAAATGCATTGCGGTCACATGACCTTGGTATTGACGTCATCATCAGTATGACGTCATAATGGAAGCATTAGATGACATTGGTCCCTTAAGGAAAATGAGTGTTTAATTGATATGCATCATTTTTAAATGAATTGATATTATTTTGTATGTATTGAAATATTACCCCAAACATGTATTGTACAGTTTTCAGCATTCTGGGTATAAACGTGTAAATATAGACGTATCAGGTGAAATTGTGTCCAACAAGTGAAACACGTTAAATAGCTTCTATATATATTAGCTCTATTAAGGTCATATGAGTGTATTGCTAAACGGAAATAGGAAGTACATCCCTAGTTGAAAATCCAATGTAGGGAGACAGTATCACAATTTCCGCATATTCTAATGTTTAATATTAAACTGATGAATAGTGTATGCTTATTAATGACAGAACAGTGTGTTCTTTCAATATTAAAATATTGCAAACCTCCCTTTGACTTCCGTTGGATATAACTGTAGCAAAGTTTCTTTCTATGACCGGTTACAGTGGTAGTACAGTGTATATCAATCTGAAGTGCAGTGTTCGAATCCCTGCTGATCTTTTTTTATACCTAAAATATTATTGTTGATTATATTTTGTTTATTTCATCGTTGTTATTTGACGTAAAAGTCTCGCAAGGTATGCTTTTCTTTACAGAAATAATCGATCAAATCTATAGTCATGCAGGAAAAATAGTTTCCAAACCTTTGTTACAGTTTTGCCAGTGGTACGATGATCCCTATAAGTGATGTTATATGTGTGCATACGATAACACTGAAGTAACCTTCTAGATTACGTATCCCATGGACATGTGTCAATATATAAGTATGTATTACTGTAGACTTTTTATAGTACTGTTGTGTTCGTAGCTAGCCCATCTCGTCTAAGGACAAGAGAGTTCATGTCATGGTACGGCGTCCGTTGTCTGTCCGTTTGGCGTCCGTCAGTCCGAGGTCATTTGCCTCTTTAAATGACTCCGACTGAATAGCAAACAGGCCTTTTGTGATTGGATTATGCCTGTATCATGCTGGAATATCGCATTTGTTCAAGTCAATGATCTAGATCAACTTTCTTGATCACATAGGTGAAATATATGTCACCCTGGTAAAACTCTAGCCACTTCCTACCGACTCGGCTAGGGAGATTGTCTCTTTAGCTCATTCGGTAGAGCATAGGACTGGTAAGCCAGAGGTCCCGGTTTCGACTTCTACCGGAGGCATTGAAAAAATAATTACCTCTCTTACATTGGCGCCCACGTAGGGACGATACTTGCAAGGGAATCACTTTGAACCCTGGAAAACTCGTGACGAGTTCTTTCCTGGAGGGGAGTATGTCATTCTGGTAAAATACCAGCCGCTTCCTACCGACTCGGCTAGGGATATTATTTCTTAGCTCATTCGGTAGTTCGTAAGACAAGTAAGCCAGAGGTCCCTGGTTCGACTCCTAGCGGAGGCATTGAAAGAAAATAATGACCTTTGTTACATAAAGCGAAATTTTAAAAAAAAATAAAAAAAAAATGCTTTAGATTCATTGAGAGGTCAAGGGCCATGATATTTGACATAAACTTACGCTGGAACATAGGACATTCAGGTTTGTTTTAACATATATTTCGTTAAGTTTTATTTTAACTTTGAAGGTCACAGATGATAAAAGGAATTTACCAACAACATTAGATGGTAGGTGAGCGATACAAGCCTGTATGGACTCTTGTTTAATATATGTAAAAATTGTTTGAATAAAACTATTTGTGTTTATTGTTACATGTGTCTTCATTTTCTTATTCAGTGTTCTGAATGATTTTCTCTGCCTTCATTCTCAAAGAGCGCAATATTTTGTGACATCAATACATCATACTACATAATTTAACTTATGTGACGTCGGAGACCACGAGCCTAATCCTGTGTGCTACAGATATAATAATGAAATTAAGGGGAGGTTACTGTACATACAAAAACACAGTGCAGTTGGACAGAGATCCTTAATTTCTTCTTATCGTAACGCTTTGCGTCATAGGCAAGTGAACGGAAACCACGAATAAGAGATCCGGCGAAGTTTTATAATATTAACTATTCAATGAAAATTTCGGATCGCGAAAAAGACTTTTACATAATATTAAAATAGTTTTAATCAACATATGCATTCGTACATGAACGGTCCGCACTATATTAGTGTCATCGTGACAGTGTTATTTGATTATATAGCAAACGTCATAATATTAAGATTTACCAACAAAATGTACGGCATGATTTTAATTCATTGAAATATAGATTATCCTGATAGCTACATGTACATTTGAAAATACTTCATACGTCATATTATACCATACTTGTCTTATACACACCTATGGTATTTTAAAAAAAATGGTCACGAGATTATGGAAGATGAACATAACACACCTGTTGTCCAGTACGTCAAAATGTAATGACACTGCATCATACAGGTATTCATAAAAAATATAAATAAACAAATCGTCAACACAAATACAGATTTCAAAGTCATTATTAATTCTGTATTCATAAATTGTGTTCTTGCCCAAAATATTCATAAATAGGAGGGCAGATTAACCAAACACACACACACACACACACACACACACACGCGCGCGCGCGCGCGCGCACAGGTGGTTGTACTTTGGTAATAAATACAGAATGCGAAACTGCACCATACAGCTGTGAAGCGTGCCAATATGTGAAAACAACCCAATATGTGAAAACAACCCAGTATATGAAAATAACCCAATGTGTGAAAACAATCCAATATGTGAAAACAATCCAATATGTGAAAACAACACAATATGTGAAAACAACCAAATATATGAAACAACCCGATATGCGAAAACAACCCAATATAAGAAACAACCCAATATGCGAAAACAACCGAATATGTGAAACAACCCAATATGAGAAAACAACCCAATTTACGAAAGCAACCCAATATGTGAAACCAACCCAATATATGAAACAACTCAATATGCGAAAACAACCGAATATGTGAAACAACCCAATATATGACAATAACCCAATATGTGAAAACTACTCAATATGTGAAAACAACACAATATGTGAAAACAACCCAATTTGTGAAAACAACCCAATATATGAAAATAACCCAATATGTGAAAACAACCCAATATATGAAACAACCCAATATGCGAAAACAACCCAATATGTGAAACAACCCAATATGTGAAAACAGCCCAATATGTGAAAACAAACCCAATATGTGAAAACAACCCAATATGTGAAAACAACCCAATTTACGAAAGCAACCCAATATGTGAAAACAACCCAATATGTGAAAACTACCCAATATGTGAAAACAACCAAATTTACGAAAACAACCCAATATGTGAAAACAAAATAATTTACGAAAACAACCCAATATTTGAAAACAACCCAATATGTGAAAACAAATCAATATGTGAAAACAACCCAATATATGAAAATAGCCCAATATGTGAAAACAACCCAATATATGAAACAACTCAATATGCGAAAACAACCCAATATGTGAAACAACCCAATATGTGAAAACAACCCAATATGTGAAAACAACCCAATATGTGAAACAACCCAATATGTGAAAACTACCCAATATGTAAAAAAAATAAACAATATGTGAAATTTATCACTTAGGAGCATTGTCTTGGGCACGAAGCTTATGTTTAAGTTCCAGCAGAACGGTTTTCAAAACTACGGACCCTGATGTTTAACTAGATTGATCGGTAAGACAAATCACGCGCTTCGAATGAGTTGTTTAAATGTCCTAGGTCGCAAACAAACAGGTTATTATTTCTCATTACCGGCTTTTATAAAAGCTTTATGTCAAGGAATATCATCCATGGGGCATCGGGTACACAACTCAATTGAAAAAATAATGGGTAAATTCGAGACTATAGTTCAAGTTTAAGTCAGCTTAAACGATCAGATTCAACGAAAATATGTCAAGCAATTTTAACTTTAAATCAGAAATAAATTCATAATTAAAATCTAACGTTGATTATTGTCGTTTATTTAATTGTATGGTTATTCAGTTGAAACAATTAAAAGTCTTAATTAGATTTCATTAATTGTCATATTGTTTGATTAAGCTTACAAGCGGGACCAATTAATACTGAACGATCTGACTTTTGATTAAGAGTATTAACAAACCGGGTGACCTAGTATTTCACCAGCGCGTGATTTAAACTTGCCGTTGTCTTCATCAGTACATTTTTTATAAATGATAATTGACATACAGTCATCAGGATGGGTACTTAGTGGAACGTGACGTATGATGTATTATATTGGTATTGATAAAGATCAGTCGTGTTTACAAATAGTTAGTTGATATTTTATGTTCGTTCCGGTTAGAATAAGTTCGTTATATATATCGACCGGAAAGAAAGGAGTCATATTTCTGACGGGCGTAACCATATTGATTTATCTCAATACAATAACGTTAATATCGCTAATGGAAGTGAAATAAATGGAAGCTTTTATGACGTCAGTATGCCTAGGCTAAAGTGGGAAATTCAAGATTCCTGTCACGTAGGTGGCAATTAACACAGAGGAATTCCACTGTGGATTTTCGTACAAACAGTATCATCCCTTTCATTTCTCTTTGACTATAGTTGTAATGGGACTGGAACCAATGAATCACTGCTGACCAGGTAGCACAGTTGGTTGGAGCGACAGTATAACTATCTGATGTTCAGAGTTCGAGTCCTGGTCTGGCCTCGTTTCATTGTTCACGCTCGAAACACTGTTGATAGTTTTTCCTTTTTTTTTTTTTTTATGTTGTATTTTTTTTCATAAGTTACTATCGTATCGTTTTCTACCTTAAGAAATGATTCATGAAAGCTACATTAAGTTTGGAAAAAAAGTTTTCCAATGCTGTGGTACGGGATTTCTTAAAAATCTTTGGTACGGCATAACAATAGAAGGAAATCATCTAATCAAATAATATTTTGTTGTTCCCATAATCCAAACTTTCGAATGAGCAACGAGCTATAATCCCATTTATGTCTTGTGTTATCATTTGAATTTAATTGATCTATATTCGGACGAATATAATGAGGGAAAATATAAAAGTAAATTATATTTTGCTGTTCCCGTAATCCAAACGCAAAGTGAGGTTATACAAGATGCCTGATGTTTCTAAAAATAAGGATGTCGTCAGGACAATATCGCATATCACTTGTGTCCAGGTGATTATGATTCTCTCAAGATGTTAAAAGGAAATTATATCAACTTATAGTTCAGAAGAAATGAGCAGAAAAAAGGACTTTATAAATATTCGGATTGTAAAATTCTAGATAATTAATTGTCCTTAAAATCTAATATCCGTTAAGGTCAAC